TTAGCACAAACAGATCTCCCGCACCGTCCGCGAACGTCATGAAATCGCTGTTCCGTCCTCAAATAAACGCCAATAGCCGGAAAGAATACCAACGAACAATGGTAGAAAATAGGCTACGCGTAATGTGGTGACGTCACGCACAGCAGGAGACGCGGGTTTTCGGCGCTTGCACTTAACAAACGAAAGTTTCTACCAGAAATAAATGGGCCTCCCCTGCCGCGGCTGCTGCTAGCTTCGAAGCAAGATATACGCTGTCATAAATGCATGTAGGATATATCGGGTGCGTGTGTTTTATAGGTGCTGAACTCTAGAATCATCCGATCTAAACAGAGTGCAGAAAATAATGGGACCTCGCCGGGCCGGGACCGGGACCGGGGCCGGGGCTATATATAGACGCGCTGTTGTGCGTATCTCTCAAGGGAAACTACTTACTAGATCTTCTTGCTCTATTTCGCTAGAGCTTGTTCAGTTCTAGAGGACATGCGGTCCTGAGGGACTAGAGGATATGTGGTTAGAGGTACTAGATGATACGGGGTCTATAGGAAAGAAATGATACGGGATCTATAAGGGACTAGAATTATATGGAGTCTATAGGAACTAGATGATGCGGGGTCTATAGGGACTACATAGTACGGGGTCTATAGGGCCTAGATGATAACGGGGTCTATAAGAACAAAATGATACGGGTTCTATAGGGATTAGATAATACGGGGTCTATAACTATGTGAGTGGGAGGTTCACGAATAGTTGGCACCGTGCTTTTGTCTGCCGGCCGAAATATGCGTACGCGAAGCCTACCTTTCCGAGAACAAGAAATATTATTGAATAATAATTAACGAAATACATATTGTATCCTATAACGTAAAGATTCGGCAGGTGTCCCTGTAATTTCTCACGTGGATTCTTTCTCCCGGGGGGGGGGAGTTTCCTTTAGCTTAGCACGGTTGCTGCTGCGGGGAAGGGAGGAAGGATGGAGGGGGGGAAGGAGGGAGGGAGGGAGGGAGGGAGGGAGAGAAAGAGGAGGGGAGAGGGAGGGAGGGAGGGAAGGAGGGAGGGGGAGGGTGAGGAGGGAGGGGGAGGAGGGAGGGAGAGAGGAGGGAGGGAGGGAGGGAGAGGAGGGGGAGGGAGGAAGGGAGGACACCCACGCGTGCGTGATCATCGTGTTGTTCCTTCCCACAGTACACGTGCATGATGATATGTTGTTCCCACCCACGCGTGCGTGATCATCGTGTTATTCCTTCCCACAGTACACGTACGGGATGATCGTGTTGTTTCCACACACGCGTGCGTGATCATCAATGTTGTTCCTACCCACACGTGAGTAATCATCAATGTTGTTCCTTCCCACAGTACACGTGCGTGATCGTCGTGTTGTTCTTTCCCACAGTACACGTGCATGATGATAGCGTTGTTCCCACCCACACGTGAGTGATCATCAATGTTGTTTCTTCCTACAGTACACGTGCGTGATCGTCGTGTTGTTCCCACCCACATGTGAGTGATCATCAATGTTGTTCCTTCCTACAGTACACGTGCGTGATCGTCGTGTTGTTCCCACCCACATGTGAGTGATCATCAATGTTGTTCCTTCCTACAGTACACGTGCGTGATCGTCGTGTTGTTCCCACCCACATGTGAGTGATCATCAATGTTGTTCCTTCCTACAGTACACGTGCGTGATCGTCGTGTTGTTCCCACCCACATGTGAGTGATCATCAATGTTGTTCCTTCCTACAGTACACGTG